GATTCTGATACAGAACGCTCTTCTTAAAAGTAACGCAGTACGTTATTTAATTACACTCAGGAGAAAGACATTCGTTGTACTACTTATTTCGTTACTTTCATGTTACTCTGTAAAATTATCTTAAACACACTGTCTCATAATTACCAATTAACCGTGTGATCTTTCCCTTAGTATTTAGGTATGAACACAAAGCCGACAACACAAACTTTAAAGCGATCGTCACAGTGATTCTACTGCAGAAACATGAACAGGTAGAAACAGGCTGCAGCCTTACTGCTCATCCGCTTCACTGCAAAAGAAGGCTCACTTTATAACTGTGCTGGGCTTGGGTTTACCAGTCACTCAGCTTTAACATCACTCCTTCTTCTTGGCCAGATGGATGTTCTTGGCTAGCTTAGCGTTAGCATGCTGTCTGTACAGATGCGGCTTGTGAAGAGCCGAAGTTATGTTAACAATTTAATCTAGATTTTTCTGGCCTGGGAGAAGTCTCCACTTAATCCATCGCAGTCTCATCCTTTTGTGCAATATGGACTAAAGTTAAAGTTGATAGCATGCAGTGTAAAATGCACCTTTACTCAGTTTGATACAGTATTACCTGTATTAGGACTAATGTTAGTTTTACATCTTTCTGTACAGCTGACAATTCGTTTGGACACACTGTTTCTGCTCATCCTGTTGCATCATATTTTGAAGATGTACAGATGGCCAACCAACTTTTCTTTAAGTCTCTGAACACAACAGCGAAACTTAAATCTTCCTTCCATTACCCTTGAACTTCTCGCAGTATATGGCTAGCTTTCCCTGAGCCTGGTTCTGCTAGAGGTTTCTTCCTGTTAAAATGTTTTTCACCCCCACTGTCACCAAGTGATTGCTCATAGAGGTCATTTGATTGCTGAATTATTGTAGGGTCTTACCTTACAATATAAAGCGCTTTGAGGCAACTGTTGTGATCAGAATCAGAATCAGAATACTTTATTAATCCCGAAGGAAATTAGATTTAGTGCTATATATGTAAAATTGAATTGAATAGAGCCTTCGTGTTTAAAATGACAGTGTACAGCTACTAAATCAACACTTTCAATCAACTTGAGATATCATGTTTGCTTTATTTTTTCATGAAATAGTAAAAGGTCACAGACCTAACCTGGTCATGAAACTACTTGTCCCTAAATTTTAACTTTCAGCCTCTTAACATGTAAAAGAATTGCTGCAATTCAAAAACTCATTTAATTTAAGCTTAAAGTCTGCACTAACTGTTTGATTTAAAATCCACTTTGGAGGTGTACTGAGGCAAAACTGCAAAACGATGTTACAATTTTAAGTACGCCCTCATGCGAGAACAGAGGACTTGTTTCAGGATTGCTCTGTAATTATTTTGGGTGGGATCAAACCAATCTGCTCCTCACTCTATGGGTCACAGGGTCAAGGTTTACAATACAATGCCTAGAATTAAACATGGTGACTTAAGAAAGTCTTGGGAAATAAAGGGACTTTAAAGGGAAAGGGTATTAAACTGTAATTTCCACTGTTAAGCAAAATTTTCAGTCTTGCTAACCTCTTAACATTTAATTCTTCAACACAGCTAAGCTTAGATCCATTTTCTTCTTCACGCTTTTTAAATAGTGCATGTACAGTGATTCAACATATATGCACCCATGCCAATGATGCTGCACAGGTGATCACTTACTCCACTGTATGTCCTGGATGCTGGATGTGATAAATCACACTACCCATGTGGAGTCAGAAGAGGGCAGTATGGCTGTAAATATAAAAGAAAATCATCAACATGTAGGCAAAGCTTCACCCTTCTTAGTCAGCACTGATGTGAAGAGTACAAGCAAAAGATGAGCAACAAAAAGACACATTTTTATTCATGTGGGGGGAAAGATTGTAGCTTTCACTTCTCTTTTATTTGGATATGAATATTTTAATATCTTAGTTGAGTCCTAAAATGAAGCCATGCGTGGTGGTGTAATGTTCATCGACACCTAAGATACAAAAGAGATGCCGTCTTTAGAGCCTTCCGTTTTATTTATCTTCACTGGTACAACAGCTCCAAAAACCATCTTGATATATAACCTGTATCACTAAGTTCTCATTCGTCCATTTGTTTCACTGGCATAAAAATATCTCATCATTGATCTAAGGAAACTCATAAACGCAGTACAGTGCGTAACTGATTAATGGTTCAGGGATTGTAAGGTTTCAGAATTAGCCTGAGGATATAAAGATTTCTTCAGTATTAAATTAATTACATTATAGTCATCAGTAAAAACCTTTCAAAAAAAAACCCTCAGTTAATAGCTCAGTTGTAATATTTCTAGATTCTGTTTCAGCATTTTTGCTAAAGTTTGTGCCTTTTCATCCAAATGAAGGCTTGTAGTGTGAATTCTTCCAAAATGTTTTTTATATTTATGCTGATATTCATTGCATTATATCAGATACATCCGCCGCTTCTGTCCTCTCAAGTTAAGTGATGATTGATAGATAACAGCCTTAACCTTTCCAAGACCTTTGTAACACATCAAGATATCATAAATATCAAATCTTTTTTGTACCCATCAGACAAGATTCTGAGATAAGTAGCCCAGTAGTCACCATAGGTGCAGTATGTAACCTCTACAGCACATTCTCTTCATTTGTGAGGCATCTTGTCGCAGACCAAAAGCATTAACCCGACTGTGCTAAGAGACCAAAATCCAAAGGAATCATCGACTGAGACTGATGACTGCCGGACCCCGCAGCAATTTGGGCTAAAGTGGCTGAAATGTCACGTAGGATAGATGAATGGACACATCAGATTCATCATCCTTAAAATGTTCAGTGAGGTCCTTCATCAAGTGTAATCAGAAAAGGGCAGTGAGAGTGTGACTGTAAGACCCAACAGACTCTTTTACAGGCACAGCAACTGCAGCCAAGCTATTTTATCACTGGGTCATAACATCCATCATGGGTACCACCAGACTACAGGATTAAGCTACATAATGAACACAGCTAGATGTCAGTGGCTTGTTAGCCACTAACACACACACACACACACACACACACACACACACACACACACACACACACAAGGCTTGTTATTCTCTTTGCTGGTGAACTATCAGGTCTACTTATAAGTTTCAGAATCCCATCAGTTACAGCAGTTTTGTTCGGAAACTACATGATGCAATGAAGTGCCTCATAGCTGCTGAATTCTAAGTACCTTTCTGGACAGTAACAGACAGAGGACAACTGTGGAGGCGTAACTGCTGATTGTTATCCACGAATACTTACCATATTCTACTGAGAACAGCAGTGGAGTGTTGCAGCCTTTGTGTTGAGGGGTGGCTGAAGGACATTTCCCAGACTGAGGTTTTCATTTTTGACAGAAAGTAATTTTGCTGCTTGTGGGTCTATTGTTGCTTGTTGTTTGAAAGGTGACTTTAGTTCTGGGAATCCATCTTAGGAGAAAAGAAAAACAGCCTTCATCCAGGGTCACAGGCAAGCAAGCTATTGGTCCTTCACCTTTGTCAGGAGTAATATATGACATACCCACTGCTGTGACACCTTTATAATACTACGGGCCACATGAGTAAGTTCAGCCTTAAGTGTTAACCTACACTATATTTTGTATAATGGATCCATTCTTTAAATCATTTGTCAAATAAAAGCATGCAACTTTTTTCTTCTTTTTTAAAAGAGAAATCTTTTATGAGCCTTTTTTATTTCAAAAACCTTGGCTAACCTTGGCTAATTAGCATAGTTATATATACAGTTGCTGACCTCAGAATAAGTTCCACAAATAGGGCATATGGGAGGAACATAGAAAGCTTATTTATACTAGTTTAGCTGATGTTTTACAGCTTGATGTAGGAACTTAAAAAGCTCTGAGTGCTGAAGTATTGAATGCTAGATTGAAGTTAGCATGAAGCTCACACCACATTTTGGCCCAATTTTGTAACTTTTTGTTGGTTACAAAAGTTCAGGGGTCTAGAATCGAGCGTTCCAGAGTGGGACACGACTCTTTATGTACAAAAAAGTGGCTTTGACAAAAAGCCAGGTGGAAATGAGTATGGAAATGCCATTTATCCCTGCTGGGCTTAAGCCTAGCTATCGTGAAACATGTACGTCTCTGGACTGGGAGAGAAACCTAGAGAACATGCAAACTCCACACAGCTAGATTGTCTGTTGTTGTGAGGTAAGAGTCTGTTGTTGTGAGGAAAGAGTGCTAACTGCTGCATCACTGTGTTACCTAGTATGGGAATGCACAATGTTTGCTCATTTATTCACTTAATAATTTATTGAAAAAGACAAATTT